GGCTATCCTAGCATGTGTGTTCTTTCTCATTGACAACTTTGGCCATCTTGGGTATACTTTGATGTTTCTTGCATACATCTCTCCTGGTTTTCATCTGTAAAATGTTGAAAGATATATCTGCAATGGTGGGAAAAAATACTCCCTATCCTTCCACTGTTACCTGGACTAAGTGAATATATTGCTTTGTGTGTATGTGTCCAATGCAGACCTATAGCAAAGAGGTTAAAGAAATCCATTGTTGCTTACTCTGCCTCTCATTTGTATGAGTAGTCAATGTAATGCAGTCAAAGCCTCTCTGGGAAGTCACAAAGGGGGGGAATCTTCAACACTGTTAGTTTTAGTTTCCTCTCTGGTTTTCTCTTCTGTGCCTTCTAAGCTTGGCCTGGAGTTTGATACATAAAGCTTCTTCAGAATGGACTTTACTAGGATGTAAACAATAACAGACATTTGAGCATATTTCCTGGAGCTCTTGGAAACTTGTCAACAGATTATACGTGAAGCATCTTCTTGACTTGTTCTGAGCTTCTTCGAGTGCATTTACACAGAAAAAATAATGCACTTTGATAACACTTTAACTGCCATGGTTCCATCCTAGAGAATTTTGGGATTTATGGTTTTGTGAGGCACCAGAACTCTTTGGCAGAGAAGGCTAAAAACCTTAAAACCTTCTGCCAACCTAGTAGTTTGAAAGCATGCAAATGCAAGTAGATAGATAGGTACCACTTCAGTGGGAAGGTAACAGTGTTCAGTGCAGTCATCTGGCCACATGACCACCAGAGGAGTCCTCACACAAATCTGACTCTGAGGCTTAGAAACAGAGATGAGCATTGTCCCCTACAGTCAGTCATGACTAGATAGTCATGTCAAGGGACTACCTTTACCTTTACCTACTGAGACACAAGAACTCTTTGGCAGAGAAGGCTAAAAACCTTGAAGAATTAAAAATCCCAAGATTCCATAGGATGGAGCTACAGCACTTAGGGGCTAAGCAGATGGGGCAAAGCACTGTCTTCAAAGCCAGGAAGGGGAGGGGCAGCCACACGCTGGGCACCCCAACCCCTTCCCCAAAACATCCTTGGAGCAGTTGGCCCTCCGCACGGCTGGTGCTCCGAGGATGACCTCCCGCTGTAGCATCCACACACGCTGCAGTGGAAGAGTCGCCGAAGGTGCTCCGGCAGCCTTTTGTGGTGCACCTTCGGCGATTTGTGGAATGAGCACTATTTTAGCGCTCCTTCCAGGGTTGGCGAAGCTGCGCCGCGTGACCGAGGCATGGGGATGCCTCAACCCAGAGGCGCAGCTTCCTGGGGCAGCCCCGTGCCTCCTGTCTGCTTCCCCCCTTAGAGTGATGTCCAAGTGCATTATTTCTACAGTGTGGATGCACTCTTCTTCTCATCTCCTGGGCTTAACCCAGATATCTTTCCTAGGCAGAGATTGGAAAAGTTCATGTTTGGATTACAACTCCCACTATATCCCAGTCACTACAGGGAGATGGGAGATTTGGGAAGTTGTTGCCCCAAAAGGAAATTTTCCAAACTCAGGGCCTGTACAGACCAGCCACAAGGGACGGTCTGAGGGGTGGAGTTATAGCGGGGTAACTGCACACGGGCTGCCCTGACTCTGCCTCAATGTCACCATCATGCCGCATGCCCCACTACACGGCATGTGGCATCAGGGCACTCCCTTGGTTCAGCGTGTAGATATGCTGTGCCAAAGGGGTGCAGAAGAGCCATGGTGGCGGTGGTAAGGGCGGCTTTTTGCCGCTCCAAAAAGGAGTGGCATTTGCCAGCTCTTTTTGGAGCAGCAAGGAGCTGGATCGGGGCCGTGGCATGTGGTTGCAGTGGCCCTGATCCAGTACTCCCAGGGGTGACACAGAGACGCCCCTTAGGGGCCATCTGTATGGCCCCTCAGTTCTTCAATCTGAGAGAAAATGTTTAGCCTGGAGGTGAAACATTCTTCATATCAAGCATGAACTCTACTATTGAGCTAGAGACCTTCCCCAGGAGAGCTGGTTCCAGGCTATAACCCTTTATCTTTCTATGCAACTACAAGCACACACACACAGGCCTTCATTCTTGGTGAGTAATCAAGTAACCAGATGAGCCCATTAAAACAGGTTGGATAGGTTCCCAGAGCTGTGCTTTTTGGGCTGTAGGGAATTTAAAGCACAAATGCTCCCCCTTTCTCCTCCTTCCCTTTATTCCCCCCCTTTTTTTTTTTGTTTTTAAAAAGAAGCTTTTCCTCATTTATGCTGAATGTGTGGTGATGAATACCAAATACTAAACTGTGCTTACAGAGTCGGAGGCAAATTGGAATCTTGATGAAAAGGAATTGGTAGAAGAAGGGGGGAGTTATAATGTGAACACTGCCTGCATGAATATATATGTTTGTTCATACCACTTTTCTTGCTGTTGTTCTCCAAAAGGCCTCCCAAATGAATAAACAACTTTCTTTCCCCTGTTAACAGCCAAGGCTCTTCCAAAAGAGTTTGCCTAAGTGTCAAGGAATCCCTCACGTTGCTCAGCTTTGCTTCTGTTTGCCTGTCTATCTAGCCAGACATTTTCCCAAGTGAATCCCCACAGTCAATAAAAA